GTGTACTAATATTTGTTATTAAAAATGAAATATTTAAAATTGTATATTTCTCAGAATATATACAATATTAAAATCATATTAGGTTGTAGATGTAATATCTGGATATATGGTGAGATGAAAATGGTAGAATTAAAACATCAAGGTCAGGAGTCCTTGAAATCAAAAGTCTTTGACGCCCAAATGCCCTTGATTCTCTGAGTCAAAGTGCCATTGGGCTCCAAAAAGTGATGTAAATTTTGCTTTAGTTATTGTGATTTAGATATTGTGAAAATCACCTGACTTAGGTTTGGGCTTTCTCAGCCTTAGAGCAGACCATGACCTGAGCTTCTAAATCAAGGTCACCAGTACCCTCAGGCAGACAATAAGTAAACAAAGTAGGCTGAATGGGGAATGATAGGGACTGTGGTAAAGTGGTTAGCACAGGCCCCAGCTGAAGGGTACAGCTACTATAGCACCAGCCAACTGACACAGTAATACTTGTTACAAAATCTTCTGATTTTGTTTTTAAGAATGTCAGGAATCCAGTTTCTTCGGTGAAATTTCTTGAACTTGAAATATTGTCAGTTAACAATAATTATGATTATTTTGGTTAACATCATGCAGGGCAAACAAAATAGGACTATGTAAGGAACTGGGCCAGGAGGCCTCCAATTTATTATTTCTAATCTAGATGTTCATTAAATTCTGGCATTCAGAAACAATATATATGGCCTCTATCTTGAGCAGCACATGACAGACAGAACAAAGAAATAATGGGATAATACCAAGAATGCAAGTGTTATGGATTGAATTATGTCCCCTGAAACTCAAATGTTGAAGTCTAATCCCCAGTACCTGATAATGTGACCTTATTTGGAAATAGGGCTGTTGCAGATATAATTGGTTAAGAGAAAATGAGGTCATTAGGGTGGGCCCTAATTCAATGTGACTGGTGTGTCCTCATGAGGAGAAATTTGGACACAAACAAGTGTACAAGGAGAACTCCATATGGAGACAAAGGCAGAGACTGGAGTGATTCTTCTACACGTCAAGTACCAACAAATATTGCTAGAAAACCACTAAAAGAATGGAAAGGCATGGGACAAATTCTTCCTTACAGCCCTCAGAAAGAACCAACCCTACCAGCACCTTGATCTTAGACTTCTAGTGTTCATGACTAATATACACAAATTTCTGTTGTTTAAACTACTCAGCTGTGGTACTTTGTTATAGCAGCCCTAAAAACTAATATACAAACCAATCTTGAAAAGGAAGAACAAAATTGAAGGACTCACTTCCCAATTTCAAAATTCATTACGAAGTACCAATAATCAAGACAGTGTGGTACTGGCACAAGGATAAACATATAGATCAAAGGAATAGAATTGAGAACTCAGACATAAGGCCTCACATTTATGGTGAAGTATTTTTGACAAGAGTACCAACCAATTAATGGAAAAGGAATGGTTTTGTCTACAAATTGTGCTAGGACAGTGGATATTCACATATCAAAGAATGAAGTTAACATCCTAGCTCACACCATATACAAAAATTAACTCAACGTGAATTAAAGACCTAAATGCAAGAGCCAAAGCTATGAAAATTTTAGAAGAAAGCATAAGCAAAAATCCTCATGATCTTGGACTAGGTAATAGCTTCTTAGATATGACATTGCAAGCATAAACCAGCAAAGAAAAAATAGATCAATTGAATGTCATAAAAGCTAAAAATGTTTGTGCTTCAATGGACGCCATCAATGAAGTTAAAAAGATAACCTATTGAATGGGAGAAAATATTTGTAGATCATATATCTGATAGCAGACATTTCTAAAATATATAAAGAATGCTTACAACTCAGTAACAAAAAGACAGTCTAATTAGAAGTTGGGCAAGGGATCTGAACACACATTTCTCTAAAGCAGATATAGAAATGGCCAATAAGTACATGAAAAGATGCTTAATATCATTAGCCATCAGGAAAATACAAATCAAAACCACAATGAGTACCATTTCACATCTACTAGGAAGGCTATAATTAAAAAGACACAAAAAACAAGCATTGGCAAAGATGTGGATAAATTTAACTCTCATACATACATTGCTGGGATGTAAAATGGTGCATTCATTTTTGGAAAAGTACAGCAATTTCTCAAATGCTTAAACATAGAGTTACCATGTGACCCAAAAATTCCACTCCTAGGTATTATACCCAACAGAAGTGAAAACATATGTCCACAGAAAAACTTTTACGTGAAAGCTCATAAAAACATTATTTACAATAGTCAAAAGGTGGAAACAAGCCAAATGTCCATCAGCTGGTGAACAGATAATGTGTATTATACCATACTATGGAATATTATTTGGCAATAAAAAATGAAGTACTGACTTCTGAAGTGCAGACTACAACATGAATGAAAAGAACACCTTGAAAAATAAGCCAAAAGAAAGAATCCAGATACAAAAGGCCACATATTGCGTCATTCTATTTATATGAAATACCCAAAATGGGCAAATTTAGAGAGACAGTAAGTAGACAAGTGGGTGTTTAGGGATGGAGGTTTTAGAGCAAATGGGGAGTGACTGCTGATGGGTATGGGCCTTATTTTTGTAATGATGAAAATATTCTAAAAGCACACAACTCTGAATATACTAAAAACCATTGAATATATATTATTGAAAATATATTCTTTCTATATATTGAATATATATTAATACATTGAATATGTTAATATATTAAAATCATTATGTGCTTTAAATGGGTGAATTGTATGATATATGGAATATATCTCAATAAAGCTGTAATAAAAAAACGGCATACCAAAGATACCAGGCTAATTAAATTAACTAAATAAAATTTTACAGATTATTCTCATACTTCTAGAAATGTTCATCTTTTTCTTATTCACTAACTTTTTTTTATGTTTAATACAATGTCAAGAGTAATGAAATAAAATTAGAATCAGAATTGACATCAAAATTAGAATTCAGAGGTACCCTGCCCTGACTGCTGAGGCAGTTGCTTTCGATGGACCACAGTTAACTAATGCCCCCAAACTTTATGGAGAAATTGACATTTGCTACTAATCTTCATACTTCAGACTGTGGATCAATTTCTAGGAAGCCAGAGACCTGTATGTGTAATCAGTCAAGAAGAGGTAAATAATCTTTGTTTCCTTGGAGCCATAATAAGACTGGAGCAGACCATGTCACCTCATAACAATGGCTCAAGATAAATTATGTCTCCCATTCCCCAAGACTCTGTGCCTGCTGCCAATGTTATCTTTTTAAAGTCCCCTATGGACACCTTAGTAGGCTTTCTAAAGTCACTATAGAATCTACTGTCTTACACTGGAAATAAGTATGCAATCTTGTCTTGCCACAGATTCTTTGGACCCCAGGATAGATACAGACACAAACACAGATATATATATACAGATATCGATTTGGACATGTGGAAGAGAGAGTGGGGGTGGCCATGAGCTACTTACATTAGTAATAATAAACAGATAAGCTGCACCAAACTCGAGTAAGCCCAAATTCAATGAAAAGTCCTTATCTTTTGTTCTACAAGGCACTGCAAGGTATCTGGAACAGGATGAGTTTAAGTTATAATAAACATCAGAGTTTAGAAAAGTGCTCCCACCTCCAGGGGAAAAAGTGATATATCCATGCTGATGGTGAGTTGGTAGCGAAGCCACCACCCTTTTTTGAAGAGAGAAATCTCTCGGAATTAATTATTTTCAAGCTAGCTTTTTCTCCCCCTGATCTGAGCTCTTCATTGCCTATAAATTTTTTTTTAACCTTAAACCTGAATAAAGAAGGCACAAATCTTCTATTATGGACTTCAGTCCTTAAGTCTTCTCCTCAAAGACTTGTGAATTCTTCTCATCTAAGTCTTATGAATTATTGGAACAGCATAAAACAGTGAGCCTGAAAGGACATACTTGAAGCAATGAGGTGCCAATAGAAGGTACCAAAGGGTAGGAATGGGAGTCAATAACAATTTTGCAAAACTCCCTGAAACTGGCCTAGTTAATGACACAGCATGGCCTTCACAGTAATTATGATCTCAATATGTGTGCAGAAAAACGTGAGCCTGAGGAAAGGAAGAAAGGGAGACCCAAAAAATAAGAGATATCTGTACACTCAAAATTAGCCTAGATATACCTAATCCCCCTAATCTATAAGCAAAGAAAGCATTTAAAAAACAATTGTTCATAAAAGCAACACGTCCACAAAGGTAATGTTCTTACTCTCCTCTTTGCACAGTTGTGTAAGCAGACACACCATAGTCTTCAGCAACACTGAGGGAGATATTTTTGTCCAGGGAGATGTTGACCTCTTCATGTAAAGTGTTAACAAACCTAAGGGGAGAGAAATTGTTACAGATTAGGCAAACCCTCTCAAATAGGGCACCTGTTAAAAGGGTAGGGGCCTTTTCTGTTTTGTTTCCCGTGTATCCCCATTGCCTAGAACAGTGACTGGCACATGAATGGTCTGTGATGTATATTGTTACCTGGATGAACAAATGAACCTACCTGTAAGAAGGAATTGGTGGTCTTTAGAAGTCCCTAACTTTCTCCTTCCTGAGGTATTATTTTCTCTAGCCGGGATGGACACTATCATGATCACCCATGGCAGTCTGAGTTTCCTCACTAATCCAGGTTAGATGCACCAATATCTTTCCCTCTTATAATAGTGGTACTCATCAATTGAGATTCCACTAAGAAAAATAATTATATACATAAATAAATAAATATATATATTTATACACACACACACTAGTATTTACATAAAACTGATACTTTATCCTCATATAAATGAAATCTGATTTGACTTCTCAAAACTCAGACTCCCAGCTAATAGTAGGTTAAGTTACTTTTGTTTTGAAGTCTGCAGACAATCCTTGGCCCTCTCAAAATGATCTTTCCAACCTTCTGAACCTGGGCCCCTCAACTGTCCTCTCAATATAGTTTTTTGTTACATTTCTATTTTGATAGGTTTTGCTCTAGCTTCTGGTTGGTGGGATAAGAAGGGCAATTCCCTCTAGAATCCTTAATTTCTGATTCCTAGACTTCAGATAATCCTGCACTGACCAAGAAACTTACCCTTTCACCCCTCCTGGATATTCTTATGGCTCTCTGGCCCAGGGCAGTCCTATCATCATTGTTGTCTTGCTTATTTTAACCTGTTAACTTTTTCAGAAGCATATTCAAAAACAAATTATTATAAGTGTTCCACCCTTCAGCAAAATTCAGACTTTTTGTTAAAAGTTCTCTTCTAAAGTGCTATTCTCAACTACCTTTTCTTGATGGCCATAGCCATGTGCATCTATTTCATGTCCCATTTCTGCTGCAGACAGCAGGTGACCTCTTCAGTGTTCCATCTCTGTAAGTGTCTCTAGCTGTCTGACAAGATTTCCAGTCTTATCTGGATTTCAAATCAAAGCTTATGACTCCAAATGTGTTACTTTTACTCCATCATGATGCCTCTATAGGTTTATAATAAAAACTATACTTTAAAAACAAATTAACAATAAGAGATATTCAACTACCAATAATGAAGGGAAGATTATTGCTGCTCACTTCAACATTTCTCTCTGGTGATCTCAAAGAGGAAAGTACTCAGTTATTTTCCAGAAAGCAAGATAAGTGGATAAAATTCATTAGAAGGAATGTATGCATCAGAGCACAGGGGGCATATATGAATATTGTATTGTATTTACACCACATGGGAAAGCAAGCCTTTCTGCCTCCCTGTCCTGGAAGATGCTTTCTGACATGCATGTGACATTATAGAAGAGAGAAGTCCTGTACAAGACAAGTAGAATGTGAGGCCTTTTCGTATGAAGCCCCACAGATCACATGAGACTCAAAATTCAAGGGAGCAAGGTGGCCTGGAGTGTCTTTGACATACAAACCTCACAAATGTCATCCCATTGCTTGCTTTGTTTTCTGTATCCTTCACCTACAAATAGAGGAAAATAAAAAACACTTACAGCTGACAACAGGGAACAGCTAATCAGATAATTTAGCCAAATGTCCATCAGCTGGTGAACAGATAATGTGTATTATACCATACTATGGAATATTATTTGGCAATAAAAAATGAAGTACTGACTTCTGAAGTGCAGACTACAACATGAATGAAAAGAACACCTTGAAAAATAAGCCAAAAGAAAGAATCCAGATACAAAAGGCCACATATTGAGTCATTCTATTTATATGAAATACCCAAAATGGGCAAATTTAGAGAGACAGTAAGTAGACAAGTGGGTGTTTAGGGATGGAGGTTTTAGAGCAAATGGGGAGTGACTGCTGATGGGTATGGGCCTTATTTTTGTAATGATGAAAATATTCTAAAAGCACACAACTCTGAATATACTAAAAACCATTGAATATATATTATTGAAAATATATTCTTTCTATATATTGAATATATATTAATACATTGAATATGTTAATATATTAAAATCATTATGTGCTTTAAATGGGTGAATTGTATGATATATGGAATATATCTCAATAAAGCTGTAATAAAAAAACGGCATACCAAAGATACCAGGCTAATTAAATTAACTAAATAAAATTTTACAGATTATTCTCATACTTCTAGAAATGTTCATCTTTTTCTTATTCACTAACTTTTTTTTATGTTTAATACAATGTCAAGAGTAATGAAATAAAATTAGAATCAGAATTGACATCAAAATTAGAATTCAGAGGTACCCTGCCCTGACTGCTGAGGCAGTTGCTTTCGATGGACCACAGTTAACTAATGCCCCCAAACTTTATGGAGAAATTGACATTTGCTACTAATCTTCATACTTCAGACTGTGGATCAATTTCTAGGAAGCCAGAGACCTGTATGTGTAATCAGTCAAGAAGAGGTAAATAATCTTTGTTTCCTTGGAGCCATAATAAGACTGGAGCAGACCATGTCACCTCATAACAATGGCTCAAGATAAATTATGTCTCCCATTCCCCAAGACTCTGTGCCTGCTGCCAATGTTATCTTTTTAAAGTCCCCTATGGACACCTTAGTAGGCTTTCTAAAGTCACTATAGAATCTACTGTCTTACACTGGAAATAAGTATGCAATCTTGTCTTGCCACAGATTCTTTGGACCCCAGGATAGATACAGACACAAACACAGATATATATACAGATATCGATTTGGACATGTGGAAGAGAGAGTGGGGGTGGCCATGAGCTACTTACATTAGTAATAATAAACAGATAAGCTGCACCAAACTCGAGTAAGCCCAAATTCAATGAAAAGTCCTTATCTTTTGTTCTACAAGGCACTGCAAGGTATCTGGAACAGGATGAGTTTAAGTTATAATAAACATCAGAGTTTAGAAAAGTGCTCCCACCTCCAGGGGAAAAAGTGATATATCCATGCTGATGGTGAGTTGGTAGCGAAGCCACCACCCTTTTTTGAAGAGAGAAATCTCTCGGAATTAATTATTTTCAAGCTAGCTTTTTCTCCCCCTGATCTGAGCTCTTCATTGCCTATAAATTTTTTTTTAACCTTAAACCTGAATAAAGAAGGCACAAATCTTCTATTATGGACTTCAGTCCTTAAGTCTTCTCCTCAAAGACTTGTGAATTCTTCTCATCTAAGTCTTATGAATTATTGGAACAGCATAAAACAGTGAGCCTGAAAGGACATACTTGAAGCAATGAGGTGCCAATAGAAGGTACCAAAGGGTAGGAATGGGAGTCAATAACAATTTTGCAAAACTCCCTGAAACTGGCCTAGTTAATGACACAGCATGGCCTTCACAGTAATTATGATCTCAATATGTGTGCAGAAAAACGTGAGCCTGAGGAAAGGAAGAAAGGGAGACCCAAAAAATAAGAGATATCTGTACACTCAAAATTAGCCTAGATATACCTAATCCCCCTAATCTATAAGCAAAGAAAGCATTTAAAAAACAATTGTTCATAAAAGCAACACGTCCACAAAGGTAATGTTCTTACTCTCCTCTTTGCACAGTTGTGTAAGCAGACACACCATAGTCTTCAGCAACACTGAGGGAGATATTTTTGTCCAGGGAGATGTTGACCTCTTCATGTAAAGTGTTAACAAACCTAAGGGGAGAGAAATTGTTACAGATTAGGCAAACCCTCTCAAATAGGGCACCTGTTAAAAGGGTAGGGGCCTTTTCTGTTTTGTTTCCCGTGTATCCCCATTGCCTAGAACAGTGACTGGCACATGAATGGTCTGTGATGTATATTGTTACCTGGATGAACAAATGAACCTACCTGTAAGAAGGAATTGGTGGTCTTTAGAAGTCCCTAACTTTCTCCTTCCTGAGGTATTATTTTCTCTAGCCGGGATGGACACTATCATGATCACCCATGGCAGTCTGAGTTTCCTCACTAATCCAGGTTAGATGCACCAATATCTTTCCCTCTTATAATAGTGGTACTCATCAATTGAGATTCCACTAAGAAAAATAATTATATACATAAATAAATAAATATATATATTTATACACACACACACTAGTATTTACATAAAACTGATACTTTATCCTCATATAAATGAAATCTGATTTGACTTCTCAAAACTCAGACTCCCAGCTAATAGTAGGTTAAGTTACTTTTGTTTTGAAGTCTGCAGACAATCCTTGGCCCTCTCAAAATGATCTTTCCAACCTTCTGAACCTGGGCCCCTCAACTGTCCTCTCAATATAGTTTTTTGTTACATTTCTATTTTGATAGGTTTTGCTCTAGCTTCTGGTCGGTGGGATAAGAAGGGCAATTCCCTCTAGAATCCTTAATTTCTGATTCCTAGACTTCAGATAATCCTGCACTGACCAAGAAACTTACCCTTTCACCCCTCCTGGATATTCTTATGGCTCTCTGGCCCAGGGCAGTCCTATCATCATTGTTGTCTTGCTTATTTTAACCTGTTAACTTTTTCAGAAGCATATTCAAAAACAAATTATTATAAGTGTTCCACCCTTCAGCAAAATTCAGACTTTTTGTTAAAAGTTCTCTTCTAAAGTGCTATTCTCAACTACCTTTTCTTGATGGCCATAGCCATGTGCATCTATTTCATGTCCCATTTCTGCTGCAGACAGCAGGTGACCTCTTCAGTGTTCCATCTCTGTAAGTGTCTCTAGCTGTCTGACAAGATTTCCAGTCTTATCTGGATTTCAAATCAAAGCTTATGACTCCAAATGTGTTACTTTTACTCCATCATGATGCCTCTATAGGTTTATAATAAAAACTATACTTTAAAAACAAATTAACAATAAGAGATATTCAACTACCAATAATGAAGGGAAGATTATTGCTGCTCACTTCAACATTTCTCTCTGGTGATCTCAAAGAGGAAAGTACTCAGTTATTTTCCAGAAAGCAAGATAAGTGGATAAAATTCATTAGAAGGAATGTATGCATCAGAGCACAGGGGGCATATATGAATATTGTATTGTATTTACACCACATGGGAAAGCAAGCCTTTCTGCCTCCCTGTCCTGGAAGATGCTTTCTGACATGCATGTGACATTATAGAAGAGAGAAGTCCTGTACAAGACAAGTAGAATGTGAGGCCTTTTCGTATGAAGCCCCACAGATCACATGAGACTCAAAATTCAAGGGAGCAAGGTGGCCTGGAGTGTCTTTGACATACAAACCTCACAAATGTCATCCCATTGCTTGCTTTGTTTTCTGTATCCTTCACCTACAAATAGAGGAAAATAAAAAACACTTACAGCTGACAACAGGGAACAGCTAATCAGATAATTTGACCATTAGGCATGTCATGGTAAGTTATTGATGAGCCAGTCATCATACTCTAAGAATTTCAAACCAAGGCCATTCTTCAACTTACCATCATGCTGAAAATACTTTTTCCATCTATTCTAATGATCAGACTGTACCAATTCTTCTCCTCCACAGAATGCTCAGTATAGACAGACAAATTGTGATATTTTAGGTGGAAGTGGAAATCCTGGCTTTCTGCCTTCAGATGGAGTTTGGAATAGTGTGGCATTTTCTGCAGAATGAAGAACCCGTCACATTCACCTTCTACCCCATCTTGGATATCACAATCTCATAGCATCCCAGGGTAGGTAAGCTCATCAGATACTTTCAGCATTACCCTTTAACCTAGTCATTCCATTGCTAATAATATATAATATAGAAGTAATTAGAGGCATGCATAAAGATTTATGAATAAAGATGTTCATTATAAGATTATATATAATAAAAAATATCTAAATAAACTATGACATAGCCATAGAATGGAATATTGTGTGTCCATTAAAATCATGTTCTCAAAGATTATCTAAGGACATGGGAAAATGCTTATGATGCAATTAATGTTAAGAAAAAATCAAGGTCAATACAGCATATATAGAATTTAAGTACTTTTAGAAAATTAGCTTGTTTATTCACATATACAAAAATGATAACTGTGATTACCTCTGGGTGATAGAATTATAGGCAGTTTTTATGCCTTTCTACTTACTCTCCAATTTTCAACAATAAGTGTATATTATTCATGTTAAAAACAGTATTCTAAAATCAACATTTCAGAATGTGTACAGTGATAGTCGTGAAAATATGCAAGCCAAACTCTTCCAGAGGATGTGATTATTATTGAAATAATAATAAAAATAAGAACCTGTTGAGTTTACAATGTCTCATATTGCTAAGCACTTTTCATATAATACTTATACTTACAACAGCTTATCACATAAAAAGTATTGCTCTTTTATAGATGTTATAACTGACATTTAGAGATAAAATAACATGTTCAGAATCATATAGCGAGGGAGTGGCAGAACCAGAAATTAGATGGGGGCAGTCTGAATCCATTGTATTATGCTGTTGCCTTAGTGCATTATCTGAATGTGTTTCTAGTTCATTCAAGTCCATACCTCACCTGAAAGGATTTGATGGACTCTTCCAACAGAGGATTATTTTCATCTCCCAGCACCGTTAACTTCACCTCATCATCTGCCAGATTCAAGACTTGGAGTAAACTTTCTTGGGGACCTGGCCGGGGTGGAGTCATTTCCTTAGGACACAGAACATATGTCAGAATTACCAAAAAATTAACCCTTCGGGTACAATGAGAACACCTATCTCAGTCCTATCTCTGATCACCTAGCATACCTAGACAGGAGGACACGTCATTTTGCATTGCTACTCTACCATTGTATCTACTCACTTATCACAAACACTCACATTCTTTCTTTAAAACAGATACTGTGCTAGGTCCCAGGGACTCAAGATTGAACAAGTCAGATGAGTAACAGTATGGGTATGGTCATCTCCTCCCAGAGATAACAATTTATTGAACTCACATCAATTTTTATCTCTACAGCTGCTGCAACAGCAAATGCCAGGCATGCTAAGATCATACCAACAGCCATTTTCCTCAGCGATCTGCAGAGGAAAGGGAGAAAAAATTATATCTAACCTTTAGACTCCAAAGGATGGGTACAAATTTAGACTCTAAAGGTTAGAGGATAAAATCTAAACCCTCTAAGCCTATCATTATAGACCTTTCCTGATTTTGTCCTAATTACTTCTCAAAGTATTTCCCAGAACTCCCCTTCACATATCCTTCTTTCTCTCTTTACGAAGTCACATGGAACTGTTCTCTGTAATGCACCTCATCTTCCCACCTCTGCCTTTGTTTATGATGGTTTTTCTACCACTATGTCATAATAACAAAAATAATAGTAATACAGCCAGATGTATTGAGTACTTACATATACCAGGCACTCTGCACTATTACCTCACTTTCCTCTTGCTCGGAAGTCTTGTCCCTGGCAGCAGGAACACCTCTCTTTCTTCTCTACACCTCCCTGGCACTTTGCTTCTCTTCTTAGCGCACTTACTATATTTCACCTTGTGTAATAACTATCCTTGCATGTGTTCTAGCTCCCTTACTAAACAGTAAACTTCAGGGCAAGGTTTGTGCTTTTACATATGCATGGCACTTGGTGCTGAACTCAATAATATCTGCTCAATGAATGAGTAAATGACACAAGGCCTTTGAATATAGTAAAGTGGTCATCAAAAGAAAATTGCTGTTAAATCAGGAATTAGAGGAGATGAGAAGCCCTCTTTTGTCCAACTTTATAAACAATAACACTTCTGTGTAGAATGGGAGAAAAGCAGTAATCAGAGACAATTCCATTCCACTTTCACCAGGTCCCCACTTGTTTCATATGGACAATAGGGGATTTAAATGGGTTAGTTGTCATCAGAGGCTTTGGGCTTAAGAGCCTATTCTGACATACTTTTGACTTTCCATGAACTTCAGACCTACCTCTTCAACACTGCACATTTAAGCCTATACTAATGGCTATATAGTCTCTCTATGATAAGAATTATTAGATCTAGCTCCCATCCTCCAGTATTAATAGGAATTTAGTCTAACTGGGGTAAACAGAAGCAGAAAAATTATAAACCAAAACAAATCATTATTAAGTAGAAAAGTACTGACATTAAAGTTTTATCAAGCTGCACAAAGAGTCGGTTTGGAACAACAAAGGAATAGCGAGCACTTACAAGAAGTTAATTCCACATTTGGAGACGAGAGGATAAATGACCAGGTCAAACAATGGGACGAAGATAAGAACCAGAAAGGGATTTAGAACCTGTAACACCACAGTAAAAAGGATTAGTGACAAGTGTTTTACTTTCATTAGGGTGAGCGTGTACCTCGCTTGCCTGTGCTCACTCTCTCTTCCAAACATACTTTCATCATACAAAGTGCAGAATGATTATACATCTCTCAGTCCCTGTACATGCAAGACTCCATTTGCCTTGCATAGCACCTTAGCTTCCAAACATTTCAAGGAACCAGTTTCAGTCTGAACTTGTTTTTCTGTTAGTCATTTAGGAGCTCTTCCCTCCCATTTTCACTTTTCTTCTCCAGTTTCGCAGCCCAAGGGAAAATATCATGGCCAGGAGAAAGGAAGGAGAAAAGGAAAAACTAGGGGTTGTTGAACAGGGGGTTAAAAAAGAAACTGGAAGTCATCTGTAAACAGAGATTCTGCCTTTGTTATTTACACACATGACAATATTTCCAAGATACTACCTTGACATGGGGGTAAAAATCCAATGCTTTTCCTGTGAGCTCAAACCTCACTCTTCCTGGAGTTGGGCAGGAGCTACTTACTTAACAGAGGATGTGAGAGAGAAGTGTGGAACTTAAGGAGAATATTTTCATCCCTGTGCTTAATCCTTCTCAGGACACAGGGAAAAAACATCAAATTATGGTTGGTGATCCTACTACCACAAATAGACATATAGATGAGGAAAGATAAGTCCCCGTGACTATAGAGAACTCTCCTACCTGTATCTGGTCCGGCTGAAGCACAAAAAAACCCTGAAACATAATAAATCACATTTAGATGATGGCTAAGAACAAGAAAAGCCTAGATCAACAACGTTGCTACTAAGCAGGTGAGAAGCACAAGATAAAATTCATCAAGTGTTTGGTTCAAGGTCACTACCATACTTATAAAGGTATGTGGTGCACAGAATGGAAATGGCTTCAGGCTATGTTTGCTGAAGGCAGGTGGGCCTAATGGAGGACATTCTTTTCGTACTGTGAATTCCTTAATTTGAGAGAGATTAGAGCCAGCATGTTTTATTAATCTCAGTGACTGCACCTGTAGGTTGTAATAATATGAAGGAAAGTCATCACGACAGGGTGAAGCCTCCCACTGACACACAGTGTTTCCAGAGTTGTTCGCTAGGGGGTCAACAAGAGGACAGCCATGGTAACTCCTGAACCACCAGGGGAAGGGAAAGGTAAAATTATATTTGGTAGGCCCCAAATAGACTGGCTAATAAGACCCCAGCATCATCCACCCTGCCCTCTTCACAAATGAAATGGTAGAAGAACAGTACAACAACCTAGGAAGCAGAACATTTGCGAGCGGGTGGAACTTTGTGTTTGCCAAAGAATGGAGATTAGACAAAGAGAAAATAATGTTTACAACTTTCCCATTCTTTCCATATCTGTATGTAAAATATTCTGTTTGCTGTGATCCCTCTCTGAGAGACGGGGCCAGTTGTTAGTACCAATAAAACCTGTTGCTGCTGTGCCCTGGACAGACTTAGATGGAAGAGAACAGTCACTCTCTCAGGTCTGTATCACTTCCATTTGCCACCCTCTCAATACTTCCTTGTATATATTTAAGACTTTCCTATCCTTATGTTCCTAATTTCTAAAGATAAGATTCTGTCTTTTTATTTCCAGACTAGCTTTCTTTACTTTGCCTACTCAGTACTTTTCATGCAAAAGACCTTCACCTTCCCTTGTGATCTTAGGTCAGTTTTCAGGCAAAAACACACAGAAAATTAATTTTTCCTTCAGGTAGATTAAAAAGAAAATAACAGACTTCTCTGAACAATTTCTTCTACTCACCAAATTCCCATTCATCCTGATGGCTTGCAAAGTCCATCGTGAGCCCTAGGACAGACAGATGCTATTTTGAGAACTCCCCTTCCTCTGAAAAGGAAGGGGCTGGAAGAAGGGGAAGCTCTCAAGAACTATTACCTGCTGATCCAAAAGAGCCCAGAACATGGGCAATGGGATATAAAGGAATAGTATCCTGGTCAATGCCTTCACATCCATAATGAGCTGCTTCTGCGAGAAGGGGTAAGAAAGAATAGCCTGAATTGCCAGACATGGTTTCCCTGCTTAGAGCAGAAGTGCCCCAGGACAGTAAGAGAAGAATTCAGATGCGGCAGGAGGGAATCAGTTTGGACATTAGGAAAGACTCCATGGAGGCATCAGATGTTTCTGCAGTTCCAACTTACTGGGTATTTTTCGGCTGCCCAGTCCAGCCAGTGCTGTCGCTTTGGAATGTCCTGGGAACGGTTCTTGAAACGGTTGGAAAGAGCAAACTAGGGCAGAGCACAGATATCTGAGGAGAAGCAAAAAGAAACCACCCCTGCCTTTTCCAGCTTATTATCCTTTCCCCCAAACACACATCTTTTAGGTGACTTTCTCCAACCTTTTGATTTCATCAGACATTGAATTTCAAAATATTTCAGATTTTTTCTTATCTATCCTTATATCCTGTTAGCAACATATAAAACTACATTTCAGAAGACTTTTGCCGATTTTAAACAATGGTTATGTTTTTTTTCTTAATGCTTTAGTAGAGGCACAGAGGGAAACCAATTAATCTGTTTGCCAAAAGGCACAGAAGTAGAACAGAAGTCATTGAGAAAAATGTATACCCATGTTTGAAGGCTTATATGTTCAGTATAGCATCTCTTTCCCTTAGATTGAAAAAGGCAGGTAAATAATTCATGGACTTACCCAGATACACTTGAGAACTTGAGCCACTATGTTTCCTTCAGGAGGTGATTTTTTGTATATTTTGCTTCCCATTGCAAACACAACTGCAGTGGACACACAGACAAGGCTCTTAGCTTCTCACTGCTAAGGACAGACTGCTGAGGTTAGGAGTGGCTGGCAAACATTCTACAGCCAGGAAATTGGCTTACACTTTCCAACTTTGCAGTTATAAAAATTATGAAAGCCAAGATAATAAAATGGCCAACTGGTAAGAGAGATCTTTGAAATGTTCGTTCGTTGTCATCACAGAAATGGAAGTCATCTCTGAACTCCCTCTTCTTTCTCCACTGCTATGTCTGATAATGTTTACAACTTCATTGATCCTCTTTCTTCAGTGTATTTCACATCTGCCCTTCTTTTTTATTGCCACTGCTATGACTTTTCTTTAGGACCTCACAATTTTTACCCTGGATTATTAAAATGCCCACAAACTAGTTTCTCAATCCCTGGTCTCTTTCTTCTCTTACATGATGTCAAATTGAAACCTTCCTTACAGGCCCTACCTTATAAGCTCAAATTCCTGCAGGAAAGGCCTTCCCAAATTCATTATTATCCTGATGGTTGTGCAAGATTACATGCTAGAAAGTGCCAGAAACTGCATTTTTGACCTGAGGCCTGACCCAGAAATCTATGCTCTTAACCATCAGAAAGCATCTCATTCACTCATTCTTGCATTGCTCACTATGCTAGACACTGTTGGGACTAAAGATAAAAAAGACTTGGTCCCTGTCTGCAGTGTAGCTCATCTCCACCTGTATTTCCTACTTTATATTTCATTATACATACATGCTCTAACTATTATTATTCTATTATATATATATTACATCATTATATATATTATTATATTCTATTGTATATATATATATATACTCTAACCACTATTCATCTTTCCTACCAAAAATTCTCTCCTGTACTATTTCTGTTCTTGAGCTCATTCTTTCCCTTAAGCTACATCTTTATTCTTTAACCACATCTCCACAGCTAATTATAGGTGAATTTTAATTTCTTATTTTCCTTTTGTTTTCCAAATTACTAACAATGACATGGTATTACTTTTATAGTTATAAAATAGTGAGTGTTATTTTCTTTCAAGTTTATTAGCTTTAACTGAAGTCAGTGGGAAGACTCCTTGGTGTCCTCCCAGCTGTGTGTGTTCTTCTTTAATGGACTTTCCAACTCCAGCAAGACACTCCTCTAGCAGACAGTCTCCCAGACGCCTTCCTCAGTGAGCAGCACTTTCTTTCTTCACACTCCCGAAAACCCAATCACCTTACTTTTCTCTGCCTTAACTTTGTAAATTCTCTATTCCTCTAGGTCAGATTCACTCTACCACTTTTTCTTTATTCATCCTCTCAGTTTCCCCAGAGCTTCTCCAAATAGCATGCTTTACCTACCCAGCTTTCTTATTTTTGACAGAAAAAACAGTTCAGAGATCAAAACTGAAGGAACAAAATGGCAGCAGACTCAGAGACTACAAGAATGAACTAGTGGTTACCAAAGGGGAGGGGTGTGGGAGGGCGGGTGGGGAGGGAGGAGGGGATTGAGGGGTATTATGTTTAGTACACACGGTGTGGGGGATCACGGGGAGAACAGTGTAGCCCAAGAAGGCACATAGTCGGATCTGTGACATCTCACTACACTGATGGACAGTGACTGCATTGGGGTATGGGTGGGGACTTGATAACATGGGTAAATGTAGTAACTACATTGTTTTTTCATGTGAAACCTTCATAAGAGTGTGTATCAATCATACCTTAATAAAAAATTTAAAAAAAAAGAAGAAAGAAAGAAAGATAAATTTAAAAAAAACAGTTCAGAGAAAGAAGGCTAATTAATCCTTAGTTGACAAGTGGGCAGATAAAAAGGTTATCTAGACAAGAGGAGGATTTTGGATGGGAAATAGACTGCTCCTGAAACTAAGAATGATCCTAGAAAGAGGCTGGAAATATCAGAAATTCTGGTCTCAATAGTGACAGTGGAGTGATAAAAGGAAGACCATGTGATCAACTTGGACAAGGTCGCACTTAAATTTGAAGACCACTTCACTAAAGATCAGTAGGGACCTTGAGTTTCTCTACTATCTCCTCCTTGTAGTAGTTGATGTTGCCTCCTACTTCACAAAGAAAATATAAACCTTCAAATGCAAACTCCCTTAGCTTCCTGTCTCCAAATCTATTGATTCCTGTATCCACATCCATCCTCTCCTCCCTCCAGTTAGTTTAAGGTGACATTCCTTCTCCTACACAAAGGTAATTCTTCCATGTGTGCTTTTATTCTGGTTACACTGTCTTTATTTTGCATCTTCAACCTCTATCTCTATGGGAGTCTTCCTAATAATATTCAAGCATGCCTGATACACTCTCTTGACAACACAATTTTTCCTTTCTTACTCTTACTCTCTTGCCAATCTACTCTTACCAGTCCTCAATCTCCACCAATCTAGCAGAACTGATATAACCAAATCAGTGACCTTGTTGCTGTATTCAATGGAGTTTTCACTCTTACCTCAATTTCCCACTCAGTAACGTTTGTTACTCTGAAAGGCTCCCTTCTTGAAATCCTCTGGGTATTCAAGATAGCACGGCCACCACTTTGGCCATTCTTTCTCAGTCTCATATGTGGGCTTTTCCTCCAAGCCTATCTTTTAGTGCTGATAATCCTTAGGGTTCTATCCTAGCCTTCTCTTTCTCTTATTCTTATCATCTCTTAGTTATTTCATCTGTTTTCATGACTTAATTGCTATCTGTATTTCAAAAGCACCAGATCTTTATCTATAGCCCAAACATTTCTTTTGAACTCCAAACCTGTATTTCCAAATAACTGTTTGAAACTCCAATTAGATGTTCCACAATCATCTAAAATGTAACATGGCCAAAAACCAAATTCATTAGTATTGCCCCAAACCTGTTCTCCCTCCCTCATTATCTCAGTGAATGATCCCACTATCTATCCAGCTGCTCAAGTCAGAACCCAACATTCAACCTTGACTAAACTTCTTCCTTACTTCACTTATCTAATGATACAAAGTTTCATCAATTCTACCAGGCCCAGGACTAGGATAAGGTAAGTGAGGCACTCACCTTAAGACAGAAATGTAAGGGAGTGCCAAAAATCCAGTGATCAAGATAAATAGTACCCTTGCCTCACCCTTACCTCATTCTTTCCACATTACAGTTAGGAATAGCACTGAAAAAAAACAAAGTAATGTCATGCCTTATGTTTAAAATCCTATTTGTAGCTAGCTATTGTCCTCCTGATAAAGTTCTAATTCCTTAATGACTTAAATGGCCCTTCATTATCTAACTCATGCTTTAGGCAATCTGAATTTCTTTAAGGCCTAAACTATCTTTGGCCTCCTTGTATTACATTTCCCTGTCCTATTTCTGTTTCACTTCCAATGGCTTTCTTGATTAATTGCTGTTAATGCACTTCACATTTCACCTTAGGTATCAATTCTTTAGACAAACCTTTTCTAACCCTTGGTCTTAGATATTCCTCCAATGTGTTCCCGTAGCTTTCTCTGTACTTCCCCAGTTGTGACAATGATCACACTCTTTTGAAATTCCTGCTTCCTTGTCTGACTCTCTCTTCCTACTAGATTATATAAGTTTTTGAAAGCATGAATTCTGTAGCTGTCTGTTCACCAATATCAACATAATACGTAGCATAGAATTTGACACATAATAGTTCATTAAATAAATGTTTGTTGAATTAAAGAAGGAAAAAATTAATAAGTTAAATTATAGAGAAAAACCAGAGGGCTGAGTTATTTCTTAGTCTCCAGAAAACTGAAGCAGCTAATAATGACAGCCAACCCTTGTTTAACATTTCACTTATAAAATAGTTCACTTACAGCATATGTAGTTTTACATATTACAAAGCATATGTAATATGCAGTGATCCAGAGAAGGGCACATAGTACTAATCAGTGGAAAACCAGTGGATGATATTTGGGAAAATGTTTGGCTTCAAAGGGAGAAGGAAGCAAGGAATCTATTATTACAGCTCTCCTGGAATAATACATAAATTTCCTTGGAATTGAAATCTGAGTATATTACTATCAGCTACCCCTGGTAGAAAATAATCAGACTGAGCATCGAGTCTCTGGGCTCTTTGTCCTCTACTGAGCTCTTTATGTGTTTGGACTGGATATCTTCCAGAGGGGTGTCACCCAAAGGCTCAGACTACGAACAGGTTTCCAGGTCAATGATTAGGAACAATCATGTCCAAGTTTCCCCTTGGACTGCATCCCCTTTACTCTTCTATTACCCGGGCCTCAGTGGTAAGGAGAATGCAATGTCACTTGAATTAAGCTGCTTCAGTTTCCACCTACTGCTTCTTATTCTCTTTGCCTAGGAGCAAATTCCTTGGGAGCGTCATAGAGCATTAACAGAGACAGCTAAACTGAGAGGCTACTTGAAAAGGTCCAAACAATTAAAAATGTCCTCCAATTACCAGATAAATAACTATCAGATGAAATAAACTAGTTTGAGAGGAAGGATTAAACATCTTCCTTACATTTTGTAACATAGAGTGGTGGATCTCAACTTTGACTACACATTTGAATCACCTAGGTATTTAAAAAATTATAGATGCTCAGACTCTATCCCAAAGAGATACCGATTTAATTCATCCTATGTGGGGCCTAGGGATCAATCTTTTTTAAAGCTCTCCAGGGAACTTATTAGTTGCCCAACTTCGGGCACATTTTTTTAAGGTTTGTAACTTCCTTAGGTTTATTTATCTCCAGTGTCTAGGGAAAACCCCTACAACAGCACTTTCCTAATAGGGTTAGCATAGGGTTAGCATGAGTATTAAATAACATTGCTTGTATAAAGTGCTCACATGATGCTTTACATGTGGCAGGCATCAGTGGTTATAGGGTCCTCTGCCCCCAAAGCACTTACCAAGAGCTATGACCATAAGCAGTCCTGGAACTCCAAAAGCCAATGCATAGCAGTCTTCCCCAAAACATTGGACATCTCCTAAAGGGCAGAGAAAAGGTATTCCTGAATCTTGAATCTTTGATGTTCTATCTGACAAGCTCAGGCTTTTGAGGTCATAGACATAGCCATCCTCTTTCTTCCCATTACCTAATCCACAATCCTTGTGGGACAGACAAATCCAGATTAAAAGAAATTCTCTCAGATTTTCAAGCCCTTATAAAAGGAGAGGATGGATAGCAGGAGGCCTTGAACAGATTTTTGATTGGCCAGAGTAAGGCCTTATACAGGGTCCCCCAGGAAAGACTCTAACCTCTCAGCATGGGTGTAACAAATGTAGAAATCAAGCTCCCTGCATTGATGGACAGGTAGAAGATTGAGAAGTATCTAGTCCGTTCCTCTGCCTGAAACAAACAGATCAAGTTATCCGTGCAACATGCCTCTGTGCTCCACCAGCCTAAGATGGAGATATATACACAGAGACAGATTCAGATATTGCCTCCATGGTATCTAAATATCACATGAAATATTGAAAACATACCTATCTGGTCCCAAACACGTACCCACCTCTCAAATTTCAGTACAAACATCTTTAACACTCTTTTACCCCTTTACCTGGGCAAAAATGACCATCCTGTACACTATGCTGCTACTCTGTCCTCCACATATCTATTTTAGTACCAATTCCTTTGCATTAAATGCCTGTTTCTTTCAGTAGGTTGAGAGTTCCTTTAGGGCACAAATCACATTTTACTCATTTCTGTGATCCCCACAACCTAGCATAGCACCTGACATATGTTACAGACTCAATACATGTTATTGACTGAGTTAAGTGAATGATTGATTGAGTTCAATAATAGGTTTTGTGGGATGTGTGGTAGGGATGGGACTAGAACATAAGCTGGTGAAGTAAACTATTGATCAAGCAGGGTAGTTCACCTAATGCTTACCAGAAGTCTGCCAGAGAACATAAAAGGAAGTCCATGGGCTTAGAAGTGGCTGCTGGAAACTTGGAGGTAAGTTTGTCCTATTACTGAAATATTTTTATGGAGCAGTTACTGAATGAAGCAACTTTCAAATAAAGTTGCTGATGCTTTACTCATTATATACTGCTGTGCTTCAGTCTGGTACTCCAGATCTTCTCCTGACATATCAGGACAATCTGTCCTTCCCCATTTTCTATTTACAGTTTGTTTGCTTTCTCTTCTGGTTTCCATTTAAATCCGTTCCATTCATCTATTTGTAGAATTCATTGTGCACAGAATCCCAAAGGTTGCCTTCAAAGTCAGCAATTATGCTGTATGGTCCCCCAGACAGATAAAGAATATAAAACAATAACTCAAGTGGTCTGAAGTATAAGAGAAACACAGGAAACAGGACTTGGAGAAAGAACAGAAAGAGAAAAAATAGAAACATGATAAATAGCTATAGAAGATGGAAGAACACATGAAGACAGGCAAAAAGAAAACTGAGAGTAGAAGAGAGGAAGCCAAAAATGTTGGCTACCTACAATAAGACTACAGTTGACCTTTGAACAACATGGGTTTGAACTGTGTGGGTCCTACAGTTCAATAAATATATTGGAAACTTTTTTTGAGATTTGCAACAATTTGAAAAAACATTTTATTTTCTCTAGCCTACTTCATTGTAAGAAAACAGTACATAATACATATAACAGAAAATATGTACTAATTGATTGTTTATGTTATCTATAAGGCTTCTAGTAGTTATGTTTTTGGGGAAACAAACAAATAAAAATTACACGCAATTTTCACCTTCAGGAGGTCAGCATTGTTCAAGGGTCAACTGTATTTTCCTTGCCTATTTGTCACAGCTTCCCTATATGGGCCCATATTTACCTTATTCATATTCTCCTACCCCCTTTGACAGTGGGAAGTACTTAGGAAAATAGGGAATCATCATCCAGACAAGTTCATCTATACAAACTCTTTCTGTTTGATTCTGAATGGTCATCTTCCCCTTTCATCGAATTTCAAAGCTAGAGATGCTTACTACTCATCACCTCCCATTTTCAAACTGCTTACCATGTTTGTTCTTAAATACCTCAAGTGAGAGTAAACTTACTACTTCAACCTCTACCTGAAGATTTTTCTTCCATCAAGCAAAAAGCTAACTCCCAATAGCTTTCACTCACTGATCTTCACTTTAATTACTGACATCCTTTGATAGCTATAATACTCCTTTTAATCCTTATATTATCCAGGTTGAATATCTGCATTCCTTTAACCTTTCTTCATAAGATGTGTCTCTTAGTCCACACTGGTTACTTTCTGTGAACATGTTTCAATTTTCTCTCTATTAATGACTTGTACCCAGCACTGAACACAACTCCTCAGATGTGATCTAATCTGTGGATTACTTCATTCTTGGCAAATGGCTACCTGCCAGGTACCTCTTTTAAGGCCTACTCTACATTCCTAAAAATATGGAAATAGCAGGATCTTACATGTTTTTCTTCAAACTGGTCTCCACCAAAAGCTGCCACGCAGGGTTTGATACCTCCAGTCCCCAAAGCTATTAGACTGAGGCCAGTCAATGATAGGATCCTGAAATGGAGAGGTAAGGATATTAACTATATCAACACAAAACACAGGGGTAGAAACTGAATATAAAGCTACAGAGAAAAATAATGTGTACAAGGGGAAGTACCCACTTCACATTTTTACCCTGTGGGCACTTTATATTTGCCTTCACTCCTAGGAGAGATTCAAGGGTACTTGACATCTTTATGACCCTTGAGCCCCTGCCAGAAAATACGCATTTCATGGAAAGATTTTGTCCCTGATAGTTCCATTTACTCCTTGTATGCAACATATAAGCAGATACTGAAGGAATTCCAAAGTTAAATCTCTGGTTCTCAATCTTGTCTTAGCTAAAGGGACACTTCCAATAGAAAGACCTTGTAAACCCTTATCCCACATACCCTTACCAACCACAAAACAAAATGTTAAAATTTGTCACTGATTTTTGATGGGACACAAAACAAGGAGTTATATAATATTTATTAAATTTAAAACAAATTCCTTACTCACTGGATACGTATATATACAGGCACATTATAAACATGAATACATATGACCTGCTTGAATAACTGTCATCCTGTCTACTGACTGAACCAACAGATATCAGAATCTATGAAATGCCTCTGGCCCTATAAACATCAATAGCTTAAGAAAAGAGGGATAGAGCAACTGGAATATGTGGAATTTGAATATGACTTCTACAGTGTAGTATAAGGAAATATTACAGGCATGTTTTTAGCCCTGCAAAGTACAGATGCATTGGTGGGTGAATAGGTAAGGGAATATGGATGGCATGAAGATTCTAATGATTTTCTTTAAGCATATGATAAGTTTTTATGAAGAGGATATTAACTAGGCATTCTATAAGTCCCCAAATGCTTGATTTAAAAAAAAGAGCTCAGATAAAGTAAGAAAGAGTTCAACTGGTCATAAAATAATTTTTTTTCTTAACCAATTTGGTAATAAAACAGTAGGTTGGAAAATAAAGGGACATCTCTGATAAGAAAATAGAGAATCATCTGCCCTGAATGTGTGAGACATTTAACTAATACAAGAAAAGTGATTTAGCTTATTCCATGATACTCACGTGTGTACTGTTTGTCCCCCCAGTATTGGTAAGGCACCCACAGACTTGATCACATGGCCAAGCACATACACCAGGGAGAGATAGATGATTGTCCTGTTGAGAAAGTTAAATCAGTTGGTCTACAGACAGAATTCAGAGACTAGAGTAATACAGACTCAGAGTTCATACTGTTTCAATGCCAGGATAAATGGAGCAGGAGGAGGAAAGAATTACCTGAGAAATTAAAATAGAAATAATAGTGGTGAATGAAGTAAAAAGATTAGAAAAAGAGAGAGTAACTCTTTACCCTGTTGTACTGGAGGTGATGGACATTCCCTTCAAGCTCCTTTCTTATACCCGATCTCTTCTTTCCCCCAACTCACCCTGCACATTCACAGAGTATCACTGCTTTTAACATGTGTCAAGACCAGGATGGATTTGTAGCAAGTCATAATGTTTTAAATTAGGAGAACCAGAAGAACAAGATAGTTTGACTTGAGGTGTTTTTCTCAAAGAATATCTTTGAGAAATCAATAGGAGTCAAGGAAGAACTCCAAGTAAATGGAAAAAGGAATGAACAACACAAAGAATGAACAACATAAAGAACTTTCTCTAAACCCAGACCAACCACTGGGATATATAAAGAAATAAAGGGCTCTGAGGTTCAGCCTGGTCACTTGAGTACTTGGCTTAATTACAATCCCCATGACAGTTTTCTCATGGACAAGTTACCAAGGGTAAGAAAGGAGCCAGGGACTTTGAATAGATTGTCCAGTGATAGAGATCATGCAGGCGGTGGGGACTTCCTGTTGTGTTGTTTTTCTAAGAAACCCAATGGCAAAAATGAAGTAGAAGAGTGAGGAATTCCAAGAAAAACATCTGTAGAGCTTTACCCACTGAAACATGGCACACTGCCATATATACAATATACGCCTTATGAGTATTATCACACCAGTATTCTCTTTACATTTAAGTAGGATGTTAGTACTAGAAGGAAACTTAGAAATTTAATATAAATATTACATATATAATATATTAGTTAATATATGTATAATATATTAATATATAATGTTACATACATAGTATATATGACATGTAATATATAGTTATATATATTATATAGTATATATTACATATAATATATAGTTATATATATTATATAGTATATATTACATATAATATATAGTTATATATATAAATATATATATATAGTTTACATCTGTAACTTTAAAGTATTAAATGCTTTATGTGGAATATAAAGAATGGAATGAAGGTATCAGAGAGAAGCTGGGGATGCCAGAAATCTTAAGATGTGGATTTCTCATTCTAAATGCCTAAAAAGATACCAGGGGGAAAGGACACTTACAGACCCACATGCTGTAGACCTAGTTTGACTCTCCAGGGAAGGAACCTTAGATGGTTTATAATGGCAAGTAGGGGATAAGAAGTGGGGTGACTAATCCAGGGTTAATTAATATTGGGGGAGGGGGAAGGCTTTCCCAAAAGGCCTTATTGCATCTTCTGGAGGAAAGCTCTTTGTTGGAATAAAAAGAATAAATAGAAAGGGAATGAAAAGGACTGAAAAAAGGCCAGCTATCATGAACCTAGACCATTAGAAAAAAACAAAAGGAATCTAAGCAGGAATAAGAACGTGAGTAGGGAGATCAGAGCAATATCTGTTGGACTAAATGAATGGGAGGAGTGTAAGTGGCTTAGAAGGAAAACTGGCAACCTTCTAGGTGACAGACCCAGGGACTTAGTCTAGGACATGAAGAATCTAAGAGAGGAAACTAATGGTAGGAAACTTTAAAAGGTGGAGAAAGAAGTCAAGAGAGACTTGGACATTCCATACTTTAAATGGGGTCATTAAGGTCCTTGTAATCCCAACCATAGGACATATAGTTTTAGATAGACCTGACCAATTTTCCATTTGCACATGAGGAAGGTGAAATACAGAGAGATCAAAGGACATTCCTAAAGTGACATCTAATAAGTAATAGGGGTTAGGTGTAGAACTTCTGCTTTCTAACTCATAGCCTAGTGTTCCTTCAGTTTTAATAAGAACAAGTTAGCACAGGATAAGGAAAGGGAAGAAGAAGCTTTAAATTTCATTTTGCAACCAGAGCCATTTTTTAATTAGGGCTTAGTAACTGAGGAGTAAGTGCTGTGGCGGCAGAGAAAGAGAGCTAGCATGAAGAGGGTTAGCTCAGACCAGATCAAAAAGACAGGAGAGGGAGAGGGAGCTGCAGACCTACTCAAGAAAGAGAAAGGAGAAGCACAGAGAGGACATCCAAAAACATATTTGTCAATAAATGCAAAGAGAGTGTCTGTGATTGCCAAGGCCAAGAGTACAGACTGATAGGATGGGCTACAGGGTATAAAAACCAACATTAGGGACTATGACTAAAAATGTTTTTCTCTCTTAAAAGCAACTTGACATCAAAAATAGAATAGCAGGTAGTTAACCCTCTCAGTAGATGTTTATAGAAATTATGGAAAGCCAATATCCATGCTTCAATTTTAAAGGAAATCATTTAAAAAATAAAAAAAGTACTATGTCATATACTTAAGTCTCTTTTTCTATAACTGAATAAAGACCATGGCTTGTACTTTTTATTCTGTACATAGAGCCAACCCCCCATGTGGATGGACTTGGTAACTAACACTATATAAGTAGCAAACAGATCTCAGCCACTCAGCCACCATCCCTCTCTCAAAGTCAAGAAACTGTTTAGTATTCTGTTGTGGTTGTAGCTAGATATTAGGTGCTAATTAAACACTTTAAAACATTGAATATATATAGGCCAAAGTGAGATAAACATCAGTATTTACTACAGAGTATTCCTTAGAACACTAGATCTACCAGATACCCAGAAAAAATACTCCATGGTCAAACAAGTTTGGATACTGTAATCTTCTCTTGAAGATTTTATAGTGTGTGTAAGCATGTTAAAGGCTATAAGAAGTTACTCAGGAAAGAAACCTTTTTAGCTTTGTTCAGCCTAGCATTTTCTAAACTTATTTGGTTACTATCACACTAAAAGTGCTTGCATTGCTGATTTAGGAGGGATAGAAGCTATTCTGAGTATTACTTTGTTCCACATAACACTCATTATATCCTATACTAATGATTCTCAACAGAATGCATTTTGAGAAATGCTAATTCAGACAAATCTGTAGATGACAAGTCCATAGAAAATAACTGGATGATGGCTATCTAAGACTCACCTCTAGCCTATGAGGATAATGTTATAGGACACAACTGTAACATAAAAAGATGCCAAAGGAGTTCGGATGGTTCAGTCTGGAGAAGATAGGCAGAGTATATCAAATAACTAACACTGAGGTCTCTAAAATAATGAATTTTCTGGTGGGTAGCAATCATATCGCCCCTGAGATCAGAATAAGAATTGGTCTTAAATTACAGAATGGAAGATTAAATTTTGATTTAAGAAAAATACAAACAAAACAACTCCTGACTGAAAAGGATGTAAAAATATTGGAAGAACTGATAATGAAGAAAATAGTTTTTCTGTGTTGTCAGTCTTGAGAGATTCTTATTTGTATGGATGACACCAGTATGCTCTTGCTTGGAAGAAAAACGCTAGAAGTGATAACCTCTGCACAATTAATCTGTGAAGCTTCTGGGATTGTCACCTCTCATCTTCCTTACTTGAATTTTCCCAACCATGAGTCAGCAATGGCTGCTCCCAGGATGGGAGTGAAATAACAGAGGCTGCCGAAGGCATGGTATAGAGATGTGGCAGTGTCTTCATTCCAATGCAGGAAATACAGGAAATACAGGGTCAGCACAGCTGAGGTGAAAAAAAAGGGGAAACAAAACAAAACAGATGCATTAAAGTGACTTATGGAGAGGTACATTTGATCTCTGGTCTTTGAAGGTGATCTTGACCTTCAACACTCCTATCAGGGAAGTGACTGTCAGGCAGTAGAAACTGGGCCAAGAGCTGTAGGATTGAATGGGGTTGTGCTTAGTGTACAAATGCAATACTCCTCTCTTAAGATTATGTGCATGCATAGCATCATTAGGCCAATCACAGAGATAAATAACATTGTGCTTCCAATATCCCTTCTTACTCCTTCCCAGCAACAAATTAGTTCACAGACCTGAGGAACAGATATGAAGAATGGAACTCAGATGTTGAGAATTTTCCCACTTAACATTCTCATGGACAGTGTTCTGGTTTTCTGTTAGGCCTTCTGTTCTTGGTCTGCATGAGTTACTAGGTGAAATCTCATGAGGCATTTATTTGAAGTCTTGGTCAATGGAAAGGACCAATTTGGATGAAGGCAGAAAGAGTCAGTAATAAGGGACATAAGTACATATAAGGATACCAGATTGTTACAAATGGAGTGAAGGTGAGTGGAGAAGAGTTAAGACACTGGGACACAAAATTACCTTTCATGCCATAATAGGAAAAGCGCTCACAGAATTCATTCACCACAATGAAGACAATGCTCAGTGGATAGTTGGAGCCACAAATTTTCTATGAAACAGAAAGGTAGTGGTTCAAGCATGAGTTTTTTCCCCTTCTTCCCTATGTAAATCACTAGATTGCTCCACAACAGAAAAATTCATTTATTTTAAATCACCATGATAGGTAATGTGAAACAATGGCACCTTCTCTGCATGAACCAGTTACCATCACACTAAAAGTGCTTGCATTGCTGATTTAGGAGGGGTAGAAGCTATTCTGAGTATTACTTTGTTCCATATTAATTTAACATGGGACTACTCAGACATTCCTTGATCCTAAACTCTAGGACCTGCTCATCTTTCCACAATTCCTAACTGAAAAGCCCGAGGCTCTGGGCAGAAGAATAATCATACTTATTTCTAGGAACAGAATGAAGAGTTGGCCTATGGAGCACTTTATGTCCTTTAGAGGTTACCTTGAGATGTCAGTAACCTGCTTAGCTCCACTGTGCAGGCTAATCTCTCTTGTGTCCACCTGCCCTGTTCACCATGCTGGGAAGGATCCTAGCAATATACAGAGGCTGCTAGAGCCAGGTTCAGAGGCCAACATAGATTCCTAAAGGTAAGCTGATGGAACAGCTTGACCTTGAGCAGGGAGTTCTTAAATCTTGTAATATTAAATGTCCACTCTCCCTGTGAAAGAGATTCCATAATATTTTCTTGTTAATCCTACTGGACATTAAAAGGATTATGCTATTTCATGCAGTATATCTGTCAGAATATGAGGTATGTCATGTTTTATTTCAAATCCCTACCCATTATGATGGTCCAACTAACATGATGGGGGGGATGGAGACACCTATCCTTGGTAGTCAGATCTTACCATGAGATTTATATTGCTTCCTGTTTCATAAGAAATACATAAATCTTTGTAGGCAGCCTTAAATTATTTGAGACCTGAAGAGATATAAGTAAATAAATAAAGTAATAATGTAATGTTTTCTTTCTTTTACCCATCTAGGTAGACACAACCCTCCTAAGGATTAATATGTGTTAGCATATTATAACAACTTGTTTAAAAGACACAATGGACTAGTTTCTTACCTACGCAAATCACAGCTTGAGAATTATGCAACCTGGAGGTTAGCAAACATACTTACTAGCTATATGACACTGTCATTAGCTGTGTTAACATACTGACCCTGACCATGTCACTACACCTGTCTTTATGCTTCAGTTCTGAGAAATGAGAATACCACCACTTCTTGGTCTATAGTAGGAACTCGGTAAATATTGGCTATTATTACAGTATCTTCTCCACTTGATATGATTACTGAATGAGATAGTTAGTTTAGAAGTGCTTTCACAAGCATATAATGCAAAACATTATTACTTCTTTGTTTCTCTGTCCTGTCTCCCACTGTAAACCAGAATACATAGTAACACAGACTGAATCTATTCTAAAACTTCCCTTGGTGTCCAGCATAAGACTCTGCACACAGGGGGATCTCAGGCCTGAGTTTTTATATTGGTAAAGAAAGAACAATCACACACAGTTCTCCAGACAGGAATGCTTGCCAAGATTCCCTGGACATACAAATTGCTTTTTTTTTCCACCCCAGAGTAACTCAGAATATACAATGAAATAGAGCGAAGTCCTGGATCCCAACTGATGAATTCTGATTACCTCTTCCCGCTACTTCCTCTCCTAAGTAAGGGAAAATTCTGTTTAGATTTGGTTTTTTGGTTACTTCTACCTCCAAAGTGAGAATAGTTTTGAATACCCTAATACAGTTCAGCCTGAAGCTCCAGAGGCCAAGAAGGAGAACCAAAAAATAACTCTGTTACTGTCAGAGGCGGAAATGAATCTGGCGACTCACCGGAGGTGGCTTCTTTGGAAGGCTCGGGGGTTGAGGTGGTACCTCTTCAGTGAAGACAGGTGAAAAAAGAGTTTCCTTTGACTCATTTTTCTGGAAGGGATTCATAGCTGGCTCCTTTCTCTCCTTAAGCATTTGGCTCCGGTAGGCAGTTGGGACAGCTGCCAGCCTACTGTGAAAACGGGGACTGGGAGGAGAAGAGGGGTTGGCTTCAGCAACTCAGTTTAACCCTGTGGGAGTCAGCTTCAGCAGCTGCCTGTCCCAAAGCAAAGCGCAAACCTTAGGAAAAGGAAGGGTTGGGTCTCAGAGCCTAGTTCAAAAAATGATTATGCAAATAGTAGAACATGGGGAAGTAAGAGCAACACATTACAAGATGGGACAAGATAATGCTGGAGAATTGCAAATGGGGGCAAAATAGTTAAGAATACAACACCTCAAGGATAGATTTAAAAATAAATGTCAGAGTAACAATAGCTGCTATTTGTTAAACACCTATTTTGGGCAAGGTTAATATATACAGTTGACCCTTGAACATGTGGGAGTTAGGGACACTGACCCCTCACGGTTAAAAAAATCTGCATATAACTTTGACTCCCTCAAAACTTCACTACTAATAGTCTACTGTTGATTTTATGGTAGTAAATAATAGTACTAAATAGACTAGTATGTACATATATTTTATGCATTCATGAAATACCTTTTAAAATTATATTTCAGTATTTCTAGGCTACATGGTTCATTTGCAAGTTTTTTTAAATTGTCTCAAGTCTCCAAAGAAAATTTCCAATATATTTATTGAAAAAAAATCCATGTAGAAGTGGGCCCATGAAAACAAACCAGTGTTGTTCAAGGGTCAACTGTGTATGAATTATATATATGTTATATATAATATGTATCCTCTATATTCTAATTCTTACTACTATCACTCTTTTATAGGAACTAATACAAGTTCCAAAAAGTTAAGTAATTTGTCTAAAGTCGTGTGGCCAGTAAGTGATATATCTGGAATTTTCACTATGCAGATAGGGGAGATTAGTATCAGCAATGCCTATGGCCATTATTCAGGTATGGAAACTATGGAAATGGAAATGTAAGAATGTAGGGGAATTGAAAATTGAATTTAGAGAAGAGATTTTGATTTGGATTTTCAACATAATAGCGGTCAACTAAAAATATCCTATAAGCAATTAAAGAGGTGGGGCTAAAGAAAATGAGAGAAAAGGGTTGGTAATATACATTTGGGAATCATTCTTCCTCTAAGTTCATTCCCTGTATTTTCATTACTTCAAGAAAAATCCATCATTTCATTGATAGGTAAAATTTAATTTGAGCAAAAATTATGAACCACTTACTTTCTAGGTACTATTGCAAACATCATTCCCTTAATTTTTAGTGGATGGATTCCTAAATTACTCCAAAATATAATATTTAGCCCTTATCAAGGAGGAACAAGAACAGGCATGATGATGGTAGATGTATTTTATACTGTATTATTTTTGCTAAATCAAAGAGGTAAAAGAACAAAACAGTATGATGCCCTTCTAGTTGTCAGGAAAGGAAAAGAATGACCAGAGAGCTATTAGGAAAATGGGGACTAAACCAGCAAAGAGGTCAGGAAGCAGGAGAATGAATTACTGTATTTGAGATAATGAGAGAGGACCTATAACTATATCCCTTGCAAAATGCTTATTTATCTATTTGAGTAATTTATTGACAAATAAGGCCAGTAGAAACTCTATGCCTTCCTCCCCTAAACTCTACCTCAGACTTTGACCATGTTTTCTCAGCTTCTACTTTTCTCCTCATTTCCTCTCTCCCCCATCAACCTTTACTCAAAGAAGAGTCCATTTCTGAATGTTGCATTAATAATTAAGCTGTAGTTACTCTTTCAGGAAGCATTGCCCTCTCTGACCTGGTTTGATTAATGACTCTGGATGGTAAAAAGTCAGAAGTTACTAGTTAAGTTAACCACTGGAGACACTGATGTCTTGAAAATTTAATCGGGTCAGTAGTTCCTGCTGCTCTGGCCTGTACCTCTACAATAACATTTGATCTGGCAGAGCAGATGGAATAGGACCTGTAGGCAATGCACCAATTCGTTTGGGTGTATAGGTACCCAAAACACCAAAGTTCAGAGAATTGGCATTGGTTCTTTGATACTCCTCTGTTTACATTAAATTCTTCTTTTGATTATGGCAATATAATACCAGCATTCATACAATCAAATAATATCAGAGATGGAAGGAAATGTAATCTTGTCTTATGTAAACCAAACTTCCTTGTTGATGAGTCATTTAGGATAATTCATATATTTATGTATGTATATACATACATATATATATATATATATATACACACACATACATGTACACACTCACATATTTATAGGCCATTCCCTTGAAAATTCCCATTCAATAGGTCTAAGTAGGGATCTCAGAACATATGTTTTAACAAGCACCTCTGGTGATTCTAATGATAGAGATTTGGGGAACACTAGTTTGAAATCCCTATCCTAATCTAGCGTGAAGAAAATTACAGAGCTCAGAAGAGATAGAGAGAGCACTAAAACGCCAGCCTCCCAGAGCCTGTACTATCATATCAAGATACCTCTTATATCCTATCATGTTTGTTAAGTTGAAATCAGACAGAAGGATAAAAGGGAAAGGATAAAAGAGAAAAGCAACTTCTGGATAGAAATGAGCACAAACTCTTCAGAGATTAAAAAAAAGGTCATAAAAGTGGAAAAATCTAAAAATATCACTGATAAGAGTAAAAAACATTTGTGGCTTCAGTGATTATGAGAGCACAGACTGATATTTTACAGTCACATAGAGAGAAGAGACTGAAGCTCTAAAATGATAGATACTAATATAGTCAAAAAGAAGAGGCAAATATGGAATTAAAAGAGAACATGTGCTTAACAAGGTGTATGAATATAAAAATCAGTGCACAAAATGAATTGTATTTAAATATCAATAAAAAGAGATAGGAAAGGAAAATTTTTAAATGATACCAGCTATTGTAGCATAAAAAAAAAAAATACCTAGGACTAAATTCAAGTCCTCAACACTAAAAACTATCAAATGTTATTGAAAGAAATTGAAGATTTAAATACATGGAGAGATACCATGCTCATGATTTAGAAGGTTTATATTGGAAAGATGACAATATTCCCCAAATCACCCTACATTTTCAACACAAAATCCCAACAGGTTTGTGAGTGTAGAAAATGACACGTTGATTTTTGTAATTCATATGGAGATGCAAAAAAACAACAATAGCAAAAACAGTCTTAAAGAACAGTAGTGGAAAACTTGCACTACCCAATGTAAAAGTCTATTATGAAACTATACTAATTATAACAAAGTGGAATCAACACAAAGATAGATAAGGCAACCAGTGAAACAGAAGAGAGTTCAGAGAAAGACCTACACATACTGAGGCATCATTTTTGACTAAGGGGACACTGCCGTGGGTGGGCATGGGGTGGGGAAGGGACAATGATGGTGTTTTAATAAATAATCATCATCTGGACATCCATACGGAAAAAGCTTTATTTTAAACCTTATCTAAACCATACATCTAAAAAAACCTATATAGATTACAGATCTGTTTAGTTAAAAAAAATTAAAGCATTTAGAAGAAAATACAGAAAAATATCTTTATGAGTATTGAGTAAGCCAGGATTTCTTAAATATGACATAAAATATGGTAACCAAAAAGAAAAATAATTGATATGTTGGACAATATTAAAATTAAGAATTTTTGTTCACCAAAAGATACCATTAAGAGTGAAAAGACAACTCACATAGTGGGACAAAATATTCATATTTCACGTAGATACGTGAAATCAAGGATTTGTGTGCAGACTAAATAACTTCAAAAGGCAGTTACAAAAAGATACATATCCAGGTTGTTTTGAGTTTGCTATTATAAATAATACTAAAATAAATAATTCCATATAAGTCAAATATATCTGCAGGGTAAATATCCAGAAGTAAGATTGCTGAGACAAAAGTATATACTTTTATAATATTTGGAACTGCCTATTCATTTTCTTTGCCCATTTTTCTACAGAATTGTTTGTTCCTTTCTTGTAAGTTGTTAAGATCTACTTGTATGTATATTGATAGTAGTGTGTTGCCATTTTCAATGTTGCAAATATTTCTTCTACTGATCTTGTTTGTAGAATTATAAAATTAAATATAACCTAAAATGCATAAATTTTATATAAAACTACATTATTTTTTATACATGCAAAACTCACACAGCTCATATAAAACAAAAACTGTACATATTTCTAGCATCTCAGTGCTGGAAGTCCTTCAGAGAGTAATACTTGCTGCTTCCTAACTCCCAGTCAAACCCTCCTCCATCAAGGTAATTACTGATTTCTATCATCATAGGTTTGTTTTGCCTCTTTGGAATTTCTTATAAATGGAATAATACTGTTTATATTCTGTGTTTGATTTATGTTACTCAATACTCCTTCTGTGAGATTTATCCATGTGTTGCCTGTAACAAGGTGTTTTTCCTGTTCGGTAGAATTCACTGTACAAATATGCCACAATTTATTTCCCCGTTCTTTGGTTGATGGTCATTTGAGTTGTTTCCAGTGTTAGGGTTGGTTATTATCAACTGGGTTAAGCCTAGGAACTGTGTTTCCCAGAATCGTCTTCTCTATGTGGTTCTAGGCCATAAGAACTTGAGTGAGATTTGGGAGGTGGAAATGAAGCAGCAAGTATTACTCTTAATGGTCAAAGATTGGACAGAGGTCATGGTTGAACACTTTGGTGATGGATGTTTAGGTGTAGAGGAGTGCATTAAAAGTTCAGGCTGTTTTCAAGTCTTACAAAATTTTACTTTTTATCAGGCCCTTTGCAGTGTTCCATGAATATGCGTATCGTCTCAGGGTTGGTCAGGAGTGTGTGAATATCTAGGGGCATTTCTGGTCTCTGCTGCACATGTAGAAAGCCTCAGCCCAAAATATCACTGTCTCAAGTAGGACTGCAACCTCAGACTATCAGGGCTAAGTTCCTGGCCTGCCCCCACTGGCTGGCATCTGAGAGGTCACCTCCACATTTGCTGCTGCTGGGTGTCAATGTCACCTACATCTACAAACTGAGCAAGTCCACTTCATGGAGGCAGGGTAGGAGCTAATCCTAATCCTCAGAACGTAAGAGCTATCAACATTTTTAGTATACATTTTTATGATATTTTTCCCATTCTTGAGTTGTTTTGATTCATCTCTTAATAAATTAGAAATTACTAA